TGATACTACTTAATGACGTAAATTTGATAGTGGTAAAAAATATTTTCCGCAAACTCAATTTTTCGAGATTTTGAAGTCATAATTACTCTTTTTTAAATGAAACTCTGTATCATTTATAGTATATTCTCTGTTATATATTCTGGAAATTAAAAAATCTATTTTAATAACCTTAACAAATATACCGTCTCGATTATACAATTTCGTAAGATCGTATACATAGAAACGTATGCTTCTCTGATAATACGCGTTAGTGAAAGACAAAACGTTATATTGCAAACAAACAGTGGCATAAAAGTCTCAGCTAAAGATATGAATAAACCGATCAAAAGCATAATATGCGAAAAATGAAAACATAAATGAATCGTGGAGAATCCTGATCGAGTACACCTATTAAATGAAGATGTAAAACCGCATTCACGGAAGCTCCCAGACAAACAAGACCGAATGAAATTATTTAAAACAGTAGTAAGGTACACTAGGCTGACAGACAAATTTCTAATAACAAAAGGAGCTAATTGATGGTGTAATACATGCAACACGAGATTAATCATAGAACGCTTAAAAATAGAATGTACAGAAATGGACACACCGCAGCATAGCCAAAATCAACAAGTTTTCACATCACAATAAAATAGTGTTATTGAATTCCTCAAAAAGGTAAACTTATGGGAACAAATTTAACATTAAAGTGAACATTGTCGCTAATTATCAAATCGTTGATGCGACGTTAAATAATGAAAGAAATAAAAAAAAAAGTTAGGACGTATTATCGTAAATTTCTTAAAATTGTATAATCGGAAGAGGAATGGTTGTTACGGTCATCAAGTTACGTTTTTTAATCCTTATAAGAATATGAAACGAATAATACAAAGTGTTTCAAAAAAATAACAATGATCTTGAAATCTCGGTAAATGACTTTAAAATTTTTGTCACCATAAAATTTATCACCTTAAAGGTTACAACTGTGAGATCAAATGTTTTTTCTTAACGCAACAAATAACGGGGTTATTCAGCTGTCCTATTTTATATTGTATTTAAAAATAAAATTGATTGTACACATTTTTTGTTTACTATGGCCAATCGATTAAAGAGATGCAATCGAATTTAATTCCGCACAGTACTCTGTAGAACGAAAACACTAAATATGAAAGAAATCATCATTAACTATGTACCACCTTGAACACAATACTATAATCAAAAGCATTATTTTTAAGTACAGTAAATTTAAAAACATTTAAGAACTAGTAACCAGTCTTCTATATTCAATATAGCACTTTATGTAAAATTAATTGCTAACATACATAATTAAACTTTCAATTGCTCTATTCACTTTTTATTACAAATCATCTATATAAAGTTGGGAAATCACTAGATGACTAGGCTGAGGAATGCGGGTCTGATTGATCAGTTTCTATCATTTCTCATCTCTTTTTCAATATTAATTTGCTATTTATCAATACAGTTCCATATAACCAATCAAAATTATACTTTTCTTAGATACACGAAACAAAATGTCAAGTTAAAAAATGATTTTGGAACTTGTAATTTTATCAAACGTCGAAATTATACTACAAGAGAATGTTAATAAAGAAATACTAATTTTAATAATACTAAAAAATGTTAGTTATGTCAAAAGAGATGATACAATATTAGAAACATCAAAAAATAATTGCATTTAATTATTAGCTGTTTGAGAAGGGAATTATTTGAGTAAAGAATCATGCAAAATTACTCACCGTTGTTCTGGTTCCAAATTGTTACACACAGTCTGAAACAAGATATAAAACAATTATTTATCAAATGAGATTATTAACTTTTACAATTAGAAACTTTACTATTAAATGATTTTTTCTTTTGTTTTAATCAGTACTATTTACAAGAAAACCTAAACGTACTTTATTTAAAAAATTAATTTTCTATGCAGTATATTCATAGTAAGTGTGTATAATCATTAAACGCAATGTGAATGTTTTATGAGTATAAGTTCGTATAAAACTTTCTACTTATATAAAAACAAAACTCTCCCATTTACAGGGACCAGTAAAAAAAGATATTAAAAGTTATTTATTTATTAAAATATTTCTTTATAAAGTTATAAATTTAAAATATTATACAGTTATAATCTTTATCAAAATTGACGTTAATTTATATTTCTTTTCGGCGGAAAATGACGATAGATTCTTAAATTAATAATTGTTTAGAATCGTTAAATACACAAAAATATTTTCAATA